CAGCCTTGAGCACCCTGACCTTGGGCTGACCTTGGGTATCCAGCTCTTGCCCACCATGCGGCGGGCATTGGTGCACATGTCGGCCGCGACGACATTCATCTCACTCTTCTTGAAGTTGGGGGTGAAGCTCTGGCAGTAATACTTGACGGAGGCCTGCAGCCGGCGCTGTCCCGGGACTTCCGGCGGAAATCGTTGGGAGAAGAGCGGTGACTGGTGCCACAGCCGTTGGCCCGCACCAGCCGTTGGCCCACGTGTTCCGGTCAAAGAAGGAAGCCAAGCGGCGCTGCAGCAGGACGTTGTGCCGCGTGCCCACGCTGACGTGGCAGATCATGAGCTGCGCCCTTGGGATGTACACGTTGGTCATTGTCACCAATATCTGGGGCCTTGAAAATAATTCCATGCAGGTGGGACTTTCAGAAGCTCTCCATGTCCGTCCAGAAGGACCCCACAAAATAGCTGGGGGGGACTTTGTGTGTGGTTCAGCATGGAGCACGGGCAGGATGGTTGGTGCCGCTCACCCCCTTGGCCAAGCGCCCTCGTGCAGCGAACAAACCGCACAACCATGCTAGGTAGAAGCATTTTACATCAGCCGCCTTCAGACTTAGTTTCATAGGCATCATTTGATTGGGGGCCGGAGGATGAAGTGGTTCTTTTTTTTTTTTTCTAGATGGTTTATTCTGTAAGTTGAATCACCTCAAGCAAATGCCTGAGTGCAACTAGCCAAGTTATCCATCTCACAGATCTTCATACGGCGGGCTGTCACCGGTGAGTGAGCGAGCTCTGACATCAGCTTAAAGGACCACATATTCTTTTTGAATGTGAATAAAATAGAAAAAGCCAAAGTGCATTGTGCGGCCATGGGGCAAGACACTCTCCCTTTCTCTCTCTCAGGTTTCCTATCATAAAGGACAAACTACTGACTAAGATCTCTTCTCGTTAAAATTCTTGTTTTGTTTGTTTTTAGACAGCGTTTCACTCTTGCTGCCCAGGCTGGAGTGCAATGGTGTGATCTTAGCTCACTGCAACCTGCCTCCTGGGTTCAAGCAATTCTCCTGCCTCAGCCTCCCAAGTAGCTGGGATTACAGGTGTACACCACCACACCCATCTAAAAGAGATGGGGTTTCACCATGTTTGTCAGGCTGCTCTCGAACTCCCAACCTCAAGTGATCCACCCACCTCAGCCTCCCAAAGTTCTAGGATTACAGGTGTGAGCCACCCCTCCTGGCTAAAATTCTGTGAGGTTTGTATAGAAGGAATAGAATGGGGGCCCAAAAACCAGTAAAATGAGAAAACAGTGATCCCCAATGCCTCGCTTCCAACTCACACGCCTGCTCTCCTACATCAATCTCCCAGAAACCTGTTTCTACCAAAAAATATATGTATACATAAAGATTAGCTGGGCATGGTGGTGGGTGCCTGTAATCCCAGCTACTTAAGAGGCTGAGGCAGGAGAATCACTTGGATCCGGAAGGTAGAGGTTGCAGCGAGCTGAGATCATGCCACTGCACTCCAGCCTGGGCGACAGAGTGGGACTGTCCAAAAAACAAAACAAAAGTGTCCCAGAATTTCCCTGTGGACACTTTTTTTTTTTTTCTGGCAGTCTTTCTCAATGAGGGTTATGTTTTCTCCGATACTGTATGGCCTACAACCTGCTCAGTTTTCATTCCAGTGAGAACATTCCAGAACAAATTCTGGGTCAATCCCAGGCGTTTGTTCCAGTCAAAGAAGGAAGATGACTGTGTGTCACTTGCTGCCCTCTAGAATGACACCTCTGCAGGCCTCTGTCTCCACCGTGTGACTCCGCCGTAAACTCCCCACCTTTCTTCTTTTGCAAAGCCTGAGACCCCCAAACACCTACCAAAAAGTGGGTAGGGTGTCAGGACACCTCCAAGTATAGGTGGGGCTGCCCCTCACACCTGGATGTGGAGCTGTGCTGCAGAGTGCTGGCTGCTCGTGACACTCATTTCACGCCTTTCTGTGCAGGTGCCGGAAGCTGAGGAACCACACATCAAGGCTTCCTTGCCAGCGGGGTGCTGCCAATCAAATGCAGTCATGTGAAATGCGGAATGTGGAAAGGAGGTAGAGTCATCCTTCCCCCGCCCCACCCCGTAGCAGCAGGTGTGCTGGCTCAGGTGATCAGCTGGACTCCATACCCCCCACCAGTCACCAGCCTGGGGACCGTGGGGCTGCAAGGACCCCAGCAGCAGTGCCCCACGTTTCCTGACTTCTTCCAGCCTCTGGAAATCAGCGGTGGTAAATTAGCCTGAAAGCCAGTGGTGCAACCCCCTCCTCCCCGACCTTCACCACCCCTAGCCACTCCAGTGATAAGCACTGATTGCCTGTACAAAACCCCTTTTTGTGAAATATCTAATTTCTGTTTTCCTATCTGGGGTATGCGATATAAGAAGCAACAGCTATTTGGTCTCTGCCCCCAGTTCCTAACACAGAGCTCCGAAAACCCTTGGAGATTCCTGAATGATGGGGGCACTAGGAGCATTGTCTTCTTCCTTTTTTTTAATTTAACATCTTTCTTTTCTTCCCGGTGTTTTTTTCCTTTTTTTAAAAAAAGCTTTTATTTTAGGTTAGGGGATACATGTGCACATTTGTTTTATAGGTAAACTTGTATCACAGGGGTTTGTTGTACAGATTATTCCATCATCCAGGTACTAAGCCTAGTACCTCGTAGTTTTTCCGGCTCCTCTCCCTCCTCCCACCCGCCAGCCTCAGGCAGGCCCCAGTGTCTGTTGTTCCCTTCTTTGTGTTCATGCTGGACATCAAGAGGACTTCGAGGGGAGCACCCCGGGCAGGCCACCAACCGGTGGGCTGAGGCAGAGTTTGGTTGGGGCAGTGGGAGGACAGCCCGGGCGACTCCAGGGGAGAATCTTCCCACTCCATCCCATCTGGCTTTCCCCATCTGCTGAGAGCGACCTTCACTCGGTAAAACCTTACACCCATTCTCCAAGCCCGGGTGTGATCTGATTCTTCCAGCACACCAAGGCAGGAACCTGGGATACAGAAAGCCCTCTGTCCTTGCAACAAGGTAGAGGGTCTAACCGAACTGGTTAACACAAGCTGCCTCAAAAGGCAAAACGAAAAGAGCACCCGGTAGCACACCCCCACTGGGGCTTCAGGAGCTGCAAGCATTCACCCTTAGACACTGCCGTGGGGTCGGAGCCCGCAACCTGCCTGCCTGTCTGCTCCCCTTGAGGTTTGAGCAGCAGGGCACTGAAGAAGCGAGTCACCCCCTCTGTCCCATGCCCTGCAAGGGGGACCAGGGAACTTTTCCTGTTTCAATATGGTGTCCAAGAAACCGTGACACATCTCACAGAGGGCCTAGGCTCTGGAGGGCTGGAGTATGAGACATTCCCCCTCCCCTGTGAACTTTAAAATGTGGCCAACGATTTTTTTAAAAAGATGGCTACCCCGTAGTGCTTTAACTGGACCTATTTAGACAACGCCTTACACGCTGGAGAAGGAAGACGCTCTGTGAGTCTAGTAAGTCTAAAGACGAGACTTCTCTCTTCTGCCTCGTCCTTCCTCTCCAGCTCCCTGCGGGTGGACGTTATATGTCTCTCATCATTTCAGCAACAAGGAAACAAATTAGTGTTCCCAGAAGCCCCCAGTGTGCCCCTTTCCAATCATAAACCCCTCTCTAACCCTTACAGGTAACCACTATCCTGTCTTTTGTGATAATTTTCTTGCTTTTAAAATGTAGTTCTGACCTAGTGCTGTGGCTCATGCCTGTAATCCCAGCACTTTGGGAGGCTGAGGCAGGTGGATCACCTGAAGTCAGGAGTTCAAGACTAGCCTGGCCAACATGGTGAAACCCTGTCTCTACTAAAAATACGAAAATTAGCCAGGTGGTAGTGGTGTGTGCCTGTAATCCCAGACACTCGAGAGGCCAAGGCAGGAGAATCGCTTGAACCTGGGAGGCAGAGATTGCAGTGACCAAGATAGCACCACTGCACTCCAGCCTGGGTGACACAGTGAGACTCTGTCTCAAAAAAAAAAAAAAAAAATTAATTAAAAGGATAAAATAAAAATAATGTAAAATAAAATAAATAGCTCCGGCTGGGTGCTGTGGCTCACACCTGTAATCCCAGCACTTTGGGAGGCCAAGGCAGGAGGATTGCTTGAGCCCAGGAGTTCAAGACCAGCCTGAGCAATGCAGCAGGACCTTGTCTCTAGAAAATTTTAAAAATTAGCTGGGCATGTTGGCCTGCACTCGTAGTCCCAGCTACTGGAGAGGCTGAGATGGGAGGATCACTTGAGTATGGGAGGTCTAGGCTGCACTGAGCCATGTTTGCACACCACAGACCCTTCCTCAAAAATAAAATAAAATAAGCTGGGCACAGTGGCCTGTTATCACAATACTTTGGGAGGCTGAGGCAGGTGGATCACGAGGTCAGGAGTTCGAGACCAGACTAGCTAACATAGTGAAACCCTGTCTCTACTAAAAATACAAAAGTTAGCCAGGCATGGTGGTGCACACCTATAATTCCAGCTACTCAGGAGGCTGAGGCAGGAGAATCACTTGAACCCAGGAGGCAGAGGTTGCAGTGAGCTGAGATCGCACCACAACACTCTAGCCTGGGCGACAGAGCGAGACTCCTTCTCAAAATAAATAAATGAATAAAATAAAATGTAGTTTTAACTATTATAGGTCATTCATAAACAACATAGTTTAGTTTTGCCTTCTTGAACATTATAAAACATTATATAAATGAAATCATATTATACATATTATTTTCTGTATCACTTCTCTTAATAATTTGTTTGTACGTTTAATATGCATGTTGCTGAGCAATCACACATAAAAGACTGGAGAAGGGGCCTAACAGCAAAGGAGAATGAGGAGAAGGAAGAGTGGACAAGCAAAAGTGAAAGCAGAAAGTCAGCTGTCAGTATGGCTTGGGGAGATAAAGAAGGCCCAGGAAGGCCTCCAGGAAAAGGCTGCCATGTCAGGCAGGACACAGAGGACAATGGAGGAAAGGTGATTCTTACAAGATGGTGAAGGTGCCGTTGTAGGTGTTCGGCTCTGGCACAGGCACGTGGCGGAGCTTCTGCTTTGGGCTGAGATCAATACACGACAGCGTCTCATCTCTGCAGGTGCAGAGGTCACAGATGTGGGTGCTTGCGGAGGCCTGTTCTTCTGGTGCAGTTAAAGCCTTATTTTGGGCATAAGTTTCAGGCTGCACCAGTGAATCCTGAGTAGGTTCTAGATCAGTAGGTAGACCTGTGACTTCAGTCAGGTTTTGATGCTGAGTCTGAACCTGGTCTGGATGAGGAGCTGTAGTCTTCTCCAGGGCTGCAGAATGTCCAGGCTCTGTAGTGGGTTCTGGAGTTATGGCAAGCCCCAGATCTGGAGGCTGAGTTGAGGTCTCCTCTCTGGCTGGAGACGGTTTAACCTCTGTAGTAAGTTCTGTAGTTACGGTAACCTCCAGGTGCAGTGGCTGAACTACGACTTGAGTCAGGTTTGCATGCTGAGTCTGACCCTTGTCTGAAGGTGGAAGTGTCACCTCAGGCTGTTTTGGAGGAGGAGCAGTAGTCGTCAGGGCTGTGGAAGGTTCAACCTCTGTAGTGGATTCAGGAGTGATGGTAAGCCCCGGATCCAAAGGTTGAACTGTGGCTTGAGTCAGGTTTGAAGGCTGAATCTGAACACGGTCTGGATGTGGAAGTGTCACCTTGGGGTGCTTTGAAGGAACTACAGTCTTCGTCAGGGGTGTAGGATGTTCAGCTTCCATAGTGGGTTCTGGAGGTATGGTAAGTCCCAGGTCCAAAGACAGAACTGCAATGCTGGGTGACACTGGGTGCTGAGCTTGATCCTGACCTGGTGTTGGAACTGTTACCTCTTGATATACTGGAAGTTGGGGTACTATTTTCTTAGGAGGCTGAGTTGCAGTCTCCTGCGTGGTTGGAAAAAGTTCAACCTCTGTCGTGGATTCTGGAGTGATGGTAAGCCCCAGGTCCAAAGGTTGAACTGTGACACTAGGCGATGTTGAATGCTGACTTTGATCCTGACCTGGTCTTGGAACTGTCACCTCATAATGAGCTGGAGGTTGAGCTGCAACCTCCTTAGATGGCTCTGGAACCTGAGCTGGGACCATCTGCTGGCTTGAAGGTTTACAACCTTAGGGGGCTCTGGAGCCTGAACTATGGCTTTCTGCTGGGGTCGAGAAGGTTCTGCCTCCATAGGGGGTGCTGGAACCTCCTGCTGAGTTAGAGATGGTTCCACCCCTTCAGGGAACTCTGGAGGCGAAGATGGGGCCATCTGCTGAGTCAGAGAGGGTTCTATCACCACAGGGGGCTCTGAAGACTGAGCAGGGACTGCTTGCTGGACTGGAAAGGATCCTACCTCTTTAGGTGGCTCTAAAAGCTCAGTCGGGGCCTGCTGTAGGACAGGAGATGGTTTGACCTTCTCAGGTGGCTCTGATGGCTGAGCTGGTATCTCCTGCTGCAATGGAAGGCTGATGATCTCTTCTGTGGACTTCGGAGGATGACCTGAGGCTTCCTGCTGGGTTACAGATGGTTCAACCTCCTTAAGGGGCAATGGTGGTTCAGCTGGGAACTCTTGCCGGACTGGAGAAGGTTCTACCTCCTTAGGGAAATCTGGAGTCTGAGCTTTGGCCTCTTGCTGGACCGGAGATTCAGTCTTTTCAGGAGAATGCAGAGGTGGGCAACGGAGATCAGGCTGGACTAGAGAAAAGTCTGCCTGCTCAGTGGAAATAGGAAGGTTGTCCTGCTGGACTGGAGAAGGTTCGACCCCCATAGTGACTGCTGTAGGTATGGTAAGCTCCAGATCCACATTTTTAACTGTGGTATTAGGCAAAGGTGAATTACTTCTGAATACTGGAGACAGATCTAGAGGTGAAAATACCACCTCATCACTCAATGGACTTTCAAAGTCTGAGGAGAGCTGAGTTGGAGGCTGAATTCTGGGCTCTTGATGGACTAGAGGAAGTTCCTCATTTTCAGAGGTATTTAGCTGCTGAATTATAATCTCTTGCAAATGCTGAAACTGCTCAGGGGACATTAAGAACTGAGCTAGGGCCACCTGTCGAGTTAAAATTTCAACCTGATGAGTGAAATATGGAGTCATGGTAACGATGTGATCCACAGGTTTAACAGTGATATTGTGCAATGTTGGAGGCTGAACTTGGTCATGACTTAGAGGAGAAACTGGTACCTCATGATACTCAGGAGGTTGAGCTACAGTTTCATTAGGGAGCTGTGGAGACTGAGCTGGGGCCTCGTGCTGGATTAGAGGAGACTCAACCTTCTCAGGGGTCTGTGGATGCTCAGCTGCAGCCTCCTGCTGGGTTGGAGAGGGGTTCTCATCCTTAATAGGTTCTGGAGACTGAACTGAAGTCTCCTGTTGAATTGGAAAAGGTCCAACCCCTTCCAATGACTCTGGAGGCAAAGGTGGGGCCCCGTGCTTGGTGGGGAAAGGTTCTACATCCATCCCTAATGGGTCCTGAGAGCTGAGCTGTAGCATCCTGGTGGATTTCAGAAGTTCCCATCTCTGCAGTAGGCTCTGTTGCCATGGTGAGCTGTACCTCTGGAGGTGTAACAATGATATATGGCAAATCAGAATGATGAGCTTGATGGTGACCTTGCGGTAAAACTATTACTTCATGATGTTCTGGAGGCTGGGCTGGGGGCTCCTGTTGGGCTGAAGAAGATTCAACCTTCCCAGAAGACTCAGAAGGCTGAGCTGGCTGCTCCTGCTCACTGGGGGAAAGTTCAGCCTCCATAGGAGGACCTGGAGGCTCTGTTGGGGTCTCCTCTTGGATTGCAGAAGGTTCCATTTCTTTCAGAGGCTGAGCTGGGGTCTCCTCCTGGGTCTGAGAAGGTTCAAGCTCCCCAGAAGATTCAGAAGAGTGAGCTGGCTACTCCTGCTCACTGGGGAAAGTTCAGGCTCCATAGGAGGACCTGGAGGTTCAGTTGGGGCCTCCTATTTGGTTGCAGAAGTTTCCACCTCCTCTAGATGCTGAGCCGGGACCTCCTGCTGGGCTTGGGAAGATTGTATATCCTTGGTGGGCTCTGAAGTTATGGTAATCTCCACATCTGCATGTTTAATTATAATATTATGGCAAGTTATAATGAGCTTGATCCTCATCTTGAGGTTGAATTGTCAGCTCATGATTTGGTGGAGCTTGAGCTAGACTTCCATAGAGGACTCTGGAGGCTGAGCTGGAGCCTCCTGCTGGGTCAGAGAAGGTTCAGCCCCCGCAGGAAACTCAGGAGGCTGAGCTGGCTGCTCCTGCTCACTGGGGGAAGGTTCAGCCTCCATAGGAGGACCTGGAGGCTCCGATGGGGTCTCCTCTTGGATTGCAGAAGGTTGATTCTCATTCGGAGGCTGAGCTGGGGTCTCCTCCTGGGTTTGAGAAGGTTCAAGCTCCCCAGAACATATAGAAGGCTGAGCTGGCTGCTCCTGATCACTGGGGAAAGTTCAGGCTCCATAGGAGGACCTGGAGGTTCATTTGGTGCCTCCTGTTCAGTTGCAGAAGGTCCCACCTCCACTAGAGGCTGAGTCGGGGCCTCCTGCTGGCCTTGGGAAGATTCTGTCTCCTTGGCAGGCTCTGAAGTTATGGTAAATCTCCACATCTGTAGGTTGAATTGTAATGTTGGGCAAGTTATAATGAGCTTGATCCTCATCTGGAGGTTGAACTGTCAGCTCGCAATTCAGTGGAGCTTGAGCTAGACTTCCATAGAGGACTCTGGAGGCTGAGCTGGAGCCTCCTCCTGGGTCAGAGAAGGTTCAGCCCCCACAGGAAAGTCAGAAGGCTGAGCTGGCTGCTCCTGCTCACTGGGGGAAGGTTCAGGCTCCATAGGAGGACCTGGAGGCTCCGTTGGGGTCCCCTCCTGGATTGCAAAAGGTTCCATCTCTTTGGGAGGCTGAGCTGGGGTCTCCTCCTGGGTCTGAGAAGGTTCAAGCTTCCCAGAAGACTCAGAAGACTGAGCTGGCTGCTCCTGCTCACTGGGAGAATGTTCTGCCTCCACGGGAGGCCCTGGAGGCTCAGCTGAGGTCTCTTGCTGGGATGCAGAAGGTTTCCTCTCCTCAGGGCACTCTCATGTCTGAGCTGGGGCCTCTAATTGGGTTGAGGAAGAGTTCACCTCCTCGGGGTGCTCTGGAGGCTGAGCTGTGGCCTGTTCCTGGCTTGATGTAAGTTCCTTACCTGGCTCTGGAGTTCCTGTAAGCTCCACATCCACGGGCTTGACTGTGACATTGGGCCAGTGTGAGTGCTGAGCTTCCCATTAACTTTTAAAGGGAACATCTACCTTGTGCTGTATCGATAGGTGAGCTACGATCGCTTCAGAGGCAGGTAAGTGCTGTGCTTGGTTCTTCCGCTCTGTTGAAGAAGAGTGGAGCCCCTCAAGGGACTGTGGAGTCTGAGCTGGGGCCTCGTGCTGGATTAGAGGAGACTCAACCTCCTCAGGGGTCTGTGGACGCTCAGCTGCAGCCTCCTGCTGGGTTGGAGAGGGGTTCTCACCCTTAATAGGTTCTGGAGACTGAACTGAAGTCTCCTGTTGAATCGGTAAAGGTCCAACCTCTTCCAATGATTCTGGAGGCAGAGGTGGGCCCCCGTGCTGGGTGGCAGAAGGTTCTGCATCCCTAATGGGTCCTGAGAGCTGAGCTGTAGCGTCCTGGTGGATTGGAGAAGTTCCCATCTCTGCAGTAGGCTCTGTTGCTATGGTGAGCTGCATATCTGGAGGCTTAAGAGTGACACTGGGGAAATCTGAATGCTGAGCTTGATGGTGACCTGCAGGTAACACTGTTACTTCGTGATGTTCTGGAGGTTTTGCTGGGGGCTCCTGCTGGGCTGGAGAAGATTCAAGCTCCCCAGAAGACTCAGAAGGCTGAGCTGGCTGCTCACTGGGGGAAAATTCAGGCTCCATAGGAGGACCTGGAGGCTCAGTTCGGATCTCCTCTTGGATCACAGAAGGTTCCATGTCTTCTTGAGGCCGAGCTGGGGTCTCCTCCTGGGTCTGAGAAGATTCAAGCTTCCCAGAAAATTCAGAAGGCAGAGCTGGCTGCTCCTGCTTACTGAGGGAAAGTTCAGCCTCCATAGGAGGACCTGGAGGCTCAGTTGGGGCCTCCTGTTTGGTTGCAGAAGGTTCCACCTTCCCTTGAGGCTGAGTCAGGGCCTCTTGCTGGGCTTGGGAAGATTTTGTCTCCTTGGTAGGCTCTGAAGTTTTGGTAATCTCCACATCTGCAGGTTTAATTATACTATTAGGCAAGTTATAATGAGCTTGATCCTCATCTTGAGGTTGAACTGTCAGCTCATGATTCGGTGGGGCTTGAGCTAGACTTTCCGTAGAGGACTCTGGAGGCTGAGCTGGGGCCTCCTGCTGGGTCAGAGAAGGTTTAGTCCCCGCAGGAAACTCAGAAGGCTGAGCTGGCTGCTCCTGCTCACTGGGGGAAGGTTCAGCCTCCACTGGAGGCCCCGGAGGCTCAGCTGACGTCTCTTGCTGGAATGCAGAAGGTTTCCTCTCCTCAGGGTGCTCTGGTGTCTGAGCTGGGGCCTCTCAATTTGGGTTGAGAAAGAGTTTACCTCCTCGGGGTGCTCTGGAGGCTGAGCTGTGGCGTGTTCCTGGCTTGATGTAAGTTCCTTACCTGGCTCTGGAGTTCCTGTAAGCTCCACACCCACAGGCTTGACTGTGTCATTGGGCCAGTGTGAGTGCTGAGCTTCCTATTAACTTTTAAAGGGAACATCTACCTCATGCTGTATCGATAGGTGAGTTACGATCGCTTCAGAGGCAGGTAACTGCTGCACAGGGGCCTCCTGCTCTGTTGAAGAAGAGTGGAGCCCCTCAAGGGACTGTGAAGGCAGAGCCGGAGCCTTCTGCTGGGTTGAAGAAGGTTCTACCTCCTCAGGGAGCTGTGGAAACTGGGCTGGGGCTTCTTGCTGTAGGGAAGAGGACTGGATCTCTTCAAGGGTCTCTGGATTTTGAGTTTTGGGCTCTAGATGGAATTGAGACAGTCCAACTTGCTCAGGGGGCCCTGAAGTCTCATCTGAGTTCACCTGGAGTTCTGGAGGATACAGCATATCCATATTTCAATCTAAATACTCATCCTGCAAAGTTTGTTTCTGATGCTGAGGTTTCAATACAAATTGACGTGGAATTCCCACAACCTTAGCAAGCCTCCAATGCTGAGCTGGATGTTTCTTCAAGTTCTTGGGAGAAACTATAATGTCGGTAGCTTTTGAATTCTTACTGTCTGGAGGTGTATTTCATCTGCCTGATGATCTGCAGCCTGATCTAGATCTGTAGTCTGAATCTTCCTTTTGAGGCGAGGAGGCTGAACCAGGGTGTGGTTCTGATCCCAGTCCAGCATTGGACCCACCTCTGGGAGCCTTTCTTGCCGAGTCAGCTTGTCATTCAGATCTGGGTGTGCAGACAAGAAGGGCTCTGGCCCTGGGGACAACTCTCCAGCTGAATCCATGTCCAGGAATGGAACCAAATTCTCAGTCGATTCCTGGGGCTGGGCTGACCTCTGGGAGGAAGCAGAGAACCCCAGGTAATCAAAGCCTCTGGGGCCTGCCAGGGAAGTAAGCGCATGGGGAGATTCCCACGGGAGATTGGAGCGGGAAGACCAGGGCTCAGTCTGCCCCAGGGGCTTGGAGGTCAGCTGGAGCAGGTCCTTGACCCACTCCAGAGGCTGAGCCTCCTAGACTAGTAGCCGAAATAGCTGCCACATGAGGAGGGGCCATGGGACCCAGAGACGTAGGCGGGACATGATAAGCACTGGCACCACTCATTGAGCGGGAACAATTCTGGCAGCCCCTAGAGGCTGGCGTCCCTGACAAGCATGCGCCTTGCCCCGTCCTTTATGACACCTTTATTTACGCTACCTTTATTAGGCTTGGGTCTAGATCTGCTCCATGTCACCATGGCGATCTTATGTCATAATCCCACCCAAGTCCCCCTTCCCACCCCGCCCTGCTGGAACACCCGTCCACTCCCCTTAGCTAGGAAGGATTTGGGCCGCAGACCTGGGTGGGTCCCAGGACTCCAGCAGCCTGGTGGGGTGGGGTGGGGTGGGGCACGGCAGAGCTTCCCAGGGAAGGCATGGGACCTTGACTGGAGATATTCAGAAGTGCTAGCCCAGTTCTGGCAGCCTGAACTCTTCCTCCTTCGAGGTGAAATCTGAGAATACTCCTCCTTCCAGGGAGAGCAAACTGACCTGCCAAATGTGTACCAGTTACGGTGGCAGGCAGAACGCACATTACAGTCATTTATTCCAAAATATTGTCATTTTCGCTAACCTCTGTATCTTTTGTTGCATGCTTGATAATTAATTCACCACCCTATGGGGTAGAGGCCACCAGGGAATAAGCGAAGACTCCAGATTTTCTGTAGGAGGGCTGTTGGGGTGGGGAATTCAGTCTGTGAGAGAAGGCTTCAATCTGAGTGAAGAGCCCTTTGCACTAGCCTGGGAGGAGGCTGAATGTCATCCTGCCTTGACTTACCACATTACCCTAGAAGTTACAGTGCCACCCTTCAGAGGTCTACCCTGTGTGCACACATGGAGAAGAGGCTTAGGTTGTTAAGTCAGCATGCTACATAAGTTCCTGAAATGCGACTATAAACTAGAACCCAGCTGACTTCCCCCACAGCCATTCTTACCTATCTTATTACTGACTGACTGGCACAATTACCAGTGTGTAAACTCCAAGAAGGTGCTTCATCTTATTCCAGTGCCTAGCATAGGCATATGGTGCATAGTGATGGTTTTAAAATGGAAGGGATTACAAGGTTCACCTCATTTAAGTACGGACCTATTGTTATAATTGGATTTCTGAAATCAGTGGTAACTTCCTCTCAGATTTCCTAGGAAGCTAGACTTCTTAAGCTTGAGGTTTTCCTGGTGGGTTTTATTTAAATTGAATTAAAATATTTATTTTACAGGGAAAAACTTCAAAACAAAACACTTTACAACTTTGGGGGTGAAAGTTAAATAAAACACTCTAGCCCCAAATTAAGTTCCCACTGAAATGAGACTTTTGCTCCTTTAAAAAAAAAAAAAAAAAAAAAAAAATTCCATATATAGTAAATAATGACTATTTTAGAGATTAATTTAGAAACTTAATCCATACTTAACAGCTTTCATGACATTCACGCATTGCTTGCCATATGAGGAGGAGCTTGATAAAAGGGTCATTAGGTGATTTCACCATTATGCTAACATCATAGTGTATACTTCCATAAACCTAGGTGATATAGCCAACAGCACACCTAGGCTATACAGTATGGCCTATGGCTCCTAGGCTACAAACCTGTAACACATGTTACTGTTAGAAGTAAAATTTTCAGTGCCACAAAGGAAATAGCACTTGACTATGAATTTTCTCAGCAAGGCAATTTTACTTTCTGCAGAAAGGGTGCTTCTTGGAAGTATGATTGTCACGAGAACACATTGAACAAATAAAAGCAGAAGTTTTTGTCCCTGACACACTGGGTCCTTACTGCTGTGTCCTATCTCCATTGGCTGGAGCTGGACTGTACCATCTAGACTGATCTCAATTGGCTAAAAACTTAAAACTTTCCTAAATAGGTAAATGCATGATGGAGAACAAAGAAAGGAAGGGGGTTGTTTATGGGAAACTAGGAGAACAATAACATTTCCGAATAAGGAAGAGGTGTAGCTGTAAGCCAGGAGATGCCTGGGCATGTTTGGACCTGTCTGAGCAGCTATAGGCCAAAGCAAATTACTTGGTTAAAGTACAAGGACATAGAATGTATTTATTCTCTTACTATATTTAGCAGCTACATAGGGCTTAACAAAGAGTAATTAGCAAAAAGCAAGGAAGCTTGAAGGAAGTTAGTTTTTAAAAGGGATTATTATTGAAGAGGGAGACCCAAGCATCTCAGATCAACTTCCCTTTTTTATTCCTAAAACTGTAAACTGGAACCTTTTCATATGTAATTCCTGAGACTAAACCGAAACCCTTTTCATATGTAATTCCTAAGACTGTAAACTGAGACCCTTTTCATATGTAATTCCTAAGACTATAAACTGAAACCCTTTTCATATATAATTCCTGAGACTGTAAACCAAAACCCTTTTCATATGTTAAACTATAAACCTAAGATTCTTCCACGTGTAACATCTAATGTATAAGCCTATATAAAGATGGAACCTTCCTTTGTTAGGGGAGCTTGGCTATTAGGCAACTATGCCACCTTGCTCCCGGCTGAATACACCCTCCTTCCTCCTGTATTCGGTGTCTTAGAGATCCATTTCCCATGTCCAATCTGGCTACATTTTGGTGCATTGGCCGGGAAGGGAGTCTTGGATAGCAGACGATGGGAAAAGTCTCTTAGGTGGTTTGCCTAGTCCTGTGGAGCATCCCTGCAGGGGACTCCTGCTCGCTGGGGTGACACATCCTAAGAGCGCTCCTGGGCAGGTATTTGCCTGGTGGAAAAGCCTCACCAGAGCAGAGCAGGGAGGCCCTGTAGTGTGGATCCACCCAGTGGCTGAACACCGAGGAGGAACGAGTATTTGGGGAAGTCCAGACCACTGAATTTGGTAAGATTGAACCCGGGAAAGTAGCCCACCCCATTTTGGGTGGAAGTGTGGCCTGATCACCCACAGATGCCAGATCAGCACTTTGGAAGGTAGCTCTCTCTGTAACTAACCTTGGAAGCTTTTGCTTACCATTTTGAATTGGAAGGAGAGCAATCGGATGTGTGTCTGTGTGTGTAGATGTGTCCAACCTGACTCATCAGTTGTAAAAGGTATCGGGCCCATTAGGAAGGGCCTCATGCATTGAGCAATTTGTAAGAATTGTAAGAATTGTGAGACAGCCACATAAGGCTGAGTGAAGAAGCCTCTGGGCATTGTAAAAGGACTGAAGTGAATGTAAATCGGGAGAGTGCTCTGTGCCGCCTCTTGTTAGGCCGGAACTGCTGTGAATGAACTAACACTCTCCTAACTGGGAATTGTTTCTTTTAAGTGTTAATACAGGTCACTCCCATAGCAAGCCCACCCCTTTAGAAACCATGCTGAAAAATTTCAAGAAGGGATTTAGTGGGAATTATAAAGTAACTGTGACACCAGAGAAATTAAGGGTTTTATGTAGGGAAGATTGGTCAGCATTTAGGGTAGGTTGACCCCCAGAGGGGACACTAGACAGGCCCCTTTTCTCCAAAGTAAGGCAGGAGGTTATATACAGTGAGCCAGAACACCTTGATCAATTTCCATACACAGACTCGCGGTTGCAGATAGTGTTAAACCCTCCGAAGTGGCTAAGAGAGCAGGCAGTGACTGTTTTAGTAGCCAAGGGACAGACTGCTAGAAACCACCATCCCCCTCGCCACCGAGGAACGTGGACTCCCAAGTCCAGGCAAATTCAGTGGTAGAAACAGGTAGGATTTGCATGAATGAATACTTCAGTTATTGGAAGTAGCTAACCAGGTGTTTGTAAACCAAGAGGTGGTAAGCCAGAGGGAAAATCACAGGGAAAGGGAACGTCAGGCATAACAGAAGGCTGACTTGATAGCTACTGCTATGAGAGGAGTTCCCCAAAAAGCGTGGAAAAAGGGGGGTTCCTGGAAAGCCCCACAGTCTGCCAGCCCACGCCTGCAAAGCAATCAGTGTGCATTTTGTCTAGAAATAGGATATTGGGAAAAAATGCCCACAGTTAATAGGAGAGCAGGGCCATCCGAAGTACGAGGATCCAGATTAAAAGTGAAGGGGCTCTGTTCAATCTAATGGAAGGGCCACTGGACTAAAAGGGGGGGGGCAGACTCGTATGCCCCCAAAGAGCCCGCGGTCCATGGGAAAAAAATAAAAAAAAACAGAACCAATATTGTTAGAGCTATTAAGGTGGTGTTAAGAGAACAGACTTTCTTGTACTTAATGGACTGCCCCGGCCCCCCTTCTCTGGCAAAACCTGTTGTGCAAATTGAGGGCCACTATGCCATTCAAAAAGGAGATTCCCTGCAGCTAAAAAATGCCTCAGGCAGGGGTCGTCCAGGCTCTCATTGTCCCTTGGGAAGGAGGGTGGAGCCTTCTTAGCTAGAAGCAGGACTGATATTATCGCCCAGGCCTGTGCAGGGTTTGCGTGGCTTTGCACTCAACTCACACATGCAGTTGGGATTACTGCCGTCAGAGGATAGTTGGTTCACTTAATTGGACTTAAAGAATACCTCCTCAGCATTGGACTGGCCTCGGAGGGTCAAAAACTATTTGCATTTCAATGAGAGAAACCCAGAAGCAGGTGTAACCACTCAATACACCTGGACCTAGCTTCCCAGGGGCTCAAAAACTCTCTCATCATTGTCAGGGAGGCATCAGCCCGTGACCGCCCCCCAGAAGCTTCTTGCTTGCAGGCTGCCTTCGTATGCTCATAACCTTCTATTGGAACACCCCACGGCAGTCGGATGTGCAAACAAATGCCTTACTTCGGCACCTGGAGGACTGTGGGTATAAAGTGTCTAAAAGGAAAGCCCAGATTTGCCAAACAGCAAATGCACTATCTGAGGCTCACCATCCGGAAGGGGGAACGCAGCCTAGAAGCAGAGAGGAAGCAAGCCGCTTGCCAAGTGACAGAACCTGAGTCTAAAGGTCAAGTGAGAGAGCTCCTGGGAGCGCTGGGTTTTGTAAATTGTGGATTTCCAAACTTCGCAGTACTAGCCAAACCCCTCTGTGATGTGACAATGGTGGGAGACAAGGAGCCCTTTGAATGGGGATCCCAGCAGCATCAGG